GGAGATACAATTATGATAATACTTCATAAAAAAAAATTGAATTTTTTTCAGTGGTATCATCATCTTACTATGTTGATTATATCATGGTATGGTTTTTACAAAGAAGCGACCTGTCTATCGATGATTGTCTACGTTAATGTTTTCGTACAATCTCTGGTGTATATCTATTTTACTGTAAAATGCTTAGGGATTAAGATTTCTTCAACAATAGCCATGTGTTTTAGGGGAATTCTAGTTGCTGAAATGTTGTTTGCGTTTATGCTTACGTGTTGGATTTTTTGGTTGCTCATAAATGAACATCCGTGCGACACTCCATTTGAATTTTTAAAGTTTTCCTTTGTGATAGCTCTGTCATATTTGTATCTGTGTATCCAATTGTTTTATAGATCTTATATTCGCAGATATAAAATATATGAAAAAAGAAATTAAAGAAAATAACACGTTGTTTCATGCTACAAAGTTTAGTCATTAAAAGATGGTTAATATATTACATAATAAGTAATATGATATGCTAATAAATAATAATCATACTTTTATGGCATCCTATGTAATATCATAAATATTGAAAATTTAATACACAAAGAATTTGATTGTTTTAAAAGAATAGTTCATAATTCTTATTGTGTAATATTATAATGTTAATTCATATTAATGTTTACAATTTATGTCCTGCATTATCATATCAATTTTTTAAAATGTATTTTAGACTTATAATTTAATGTATATTATTTTTCTGTATCTGAGTTATACCGATAAAGGGAAGTGGAAATCTTATGTTATATACATACATTTACAATTGTAAAAATAAATAAATAAATAAAGTAGTTCTGCTGAGTTTTTATTTGGAGTTCATTTTCGTGTCTTTAAAAATAAATTATTGAATACAATTTTCATGCAATAATTTCAATTCGCTTGGTATGTTATTTTACGTTAGTTTTATTTATAAAAGTTTGACCTATGTGAACTTACTGTTCTCAATAGGCCAAACTTTTATAAATAAAATTTATAAAATAACGTAACACATCACAATAATAACAGTATTCACCTGATTGTAATAATATTCTGACTGTTCTGAATTTAACGTAGGTCACAAAACACTGAAACAAACATGTAATTATATTTTATATATATATATATATGGTTATATAGATATCAAACAATCAGTTAATTTTTATTTAAATATGTACAAAATACATTTCCATTAACTCATAGCACAATCGGGGTTGGTGAATAAGAACAGGACAAGAGAAATTGGTTCAGAGCATGTAAATGCATATACGTAGTAAATACAATATAATACAAAATAAGTAAAAAATGCATACAGATACAGGGCAAGTACACACGGAAGGAATGTGATGGGTTAAGCTGGAAAGAAAGTGAAACCATGAACAGGTGTGATTCTCTGGTATGTGTTTAGCAGTTTGAATTTAAGTTCGTAAAGTCCTTTGCTGTTGAAGGGAGTGCGGTGATTATGGCGCCAAGTGATGTTAGCTGGAAGCTTGTAATAATGAAAATTCTTTCCCTGAGGAGCATAGGACAGTCAAAAACATAGTGGTCAATCCTGTCACAAACATCACAGTAGACACATAGGTTGTTGTCCTGGAACCCGAAGAGATGGACGTAGCTGTTGAAGCGGCCATGGTTGGTCTGGAATTGGGTAAGGTTATGACTGAGATTTAGCCATGTTAGGTCATTCTTATGTTTCATGTTAAGAAGGTAGGCATGGATAGTAATATTATGATCCCTGTCTCAAGCTGTTTGCCAGTTGATTTGCAGTTCCTCCAAAAGAGTTTTGCAACGTATGAGAAAATAATAGCTTTGTACTGTATAGAAAGATTATCGTCAGTGGGAGCTTCCTTAACCAATGTTTCAGCCCATTCGTTTCTTGAGGTGCCTTGGTGTGCCCTAGTTCAGATCAGATAATAGTTACTACTTGAACGCAGGAGGATTTTTTTCATTTTGTTGGAGGTTGGGTGGGTGGGTTTTGTTGTTCCTGATGATCTGAATGGCAGCAGAGCTGTCCGTAATAATGTGGATGTCTGTGTTATTGTAAAGTTACAAGTAAAAGCCTCGAGAATTGCGAGAAGTTTTGTTTGAATAACGCTGCAATTGTTTGCCAGGCTGCATTTATTGTGTCAGATTCAACACTGTTTCTGTATACAACAAAGCTACAGCCTACTCTGTCATTAGCCTTAGGTCTGTCAGTATAGATAGTAATAGCTAAGTGAGGAATGTTTTTATTGAGGTTAATTATTTGGCTAGCATCAATAGTCTTAGAGTATGCGATAGAGTTGATGGGGGTTTCTTCTTTGTGCTTAATTTTTATATTTCTTACTATAAACAGTGATATAAACATCGATAGATGCTTTCATTTTGATGACTTGGAGTCTGCTTGTGGAGCTATAGAGTAGGCTTTTGCAATGTAGAGAAGTGCCTGCCGCTGAGGATAAAGATGTCTATGTTTTTCATTGAAATGGTGGATAGCGTGGCCCTAGATATCGCTGGAATAGCTTGTGATTGGTGTAAAAATCATATTGTATACCAAATTCATAGCAGTGAAGTTAAGCCCCAGTTGGACTTAGCAATTTTACCGAAAGATTAAAAAATCAGTCCAGTATACTTAGTTATATGTTGGATATGGGGGGGCTCAGGACAGTGTGTGGTCCAGAAGGACTCCCAGATATTTGAATGTTCTTGTAATCTGAATGCTGCTACCATCTACCTTGATAGTCGGGACTCACTTGTAGAATGTGGCTTAACAGGCCTGCTAAAAAGAAGAATTTTTTAATTTATAAAATACAGTCAGTTTACATTATTTTCTTTTTTAAACTTATGTTTCGAGAAATTATGCAAAACACTTCTGTCGAAATAAACCTGAAATATACATTTTTGTTTATTTATCCCATAAAATAAAAATGTTTTTAACTTAACTTACAAATCAGTAACATTACCAATTTATTTTTTCTGATATTTTTTTTATTTCATTTTTAGCATTTTAATGCAATAATATTACTATAATAAATTTATTTAGCTATAATAAGTCAACGTGTTAAAAATTTTCAAGTTATGACCTTCAGTTCTGACATTTTATTTATTTTTTATTTTAATCTAAAATATCAGCAAATGTCACATGTATTACTATTGGTAAATCATATGTTTATCAAAAAATTTACATTCTTGTTCGATATGAAGTAAATAAAGTATATTAGTTCATTATATTAGTTGATAGCATAAAAAAGTTTTAATTTAAAACAAATGTTTTATATAATGTGCGATAATTTCACAACGAATAAACGTACTGTACATGCATAAGTGTTATGGACAGTTGTACAGGGGGAGCGCTTCTAGCCATCATCAGTGTTGGCGATTTTTTTTTACTCACTTTCTCCAAACAACGTTTTCCTGTGAAACGTTAAACAGTACAATAATTTCTAGTGCTAAAAGGTTAATACTGTAATGAACTTGTTACCATTTATTGTAATTTTATTGTTGTTGGTAATGGCTGGTATTGAAACAAATCCTCGCCTTCTGCAACATTCACCAGTCAAGATAAGTCAAACTAACATGCAAAAAAGGGGGTGTGGATGACCTATAAAGGAATACGCTCAGAATTCTGAAGATACAAGCCAGCTAGTGGATATTATTGGCGAAGAATGTTTTTCTAAGGAAGATATGAAAAATAACAAAAGCGCCACTAATTAATTTAGGACTGAGGATTATTTCGAAAACACCAGAACAACTCGACGGATAAAGTGATAATGATAAGAGGTACTCCTTAAAATCAATCTATAATTCAATTCAAGAGAAATTTGAACTATTTAATCAAGAAATTCACTCAATGAGATAAGACATAAGTTGTCTACAGGAAGATAATACGAAAATTAAAAAGGAAATGAAAACTATTATGAAAAAAATTCAGCAATGTGAAGATAGAACAAAGGCCTGTGTACTGTACACCTAAAAGGTATGCTTGAGTTCGCGTTAGATAAATTACATAATGAATACACTAAAAGGAATCTTGTTATCATCAGTTTTAAATGTAATATTAATTATAAGCTGCAATAACTCAAAAAATTCATTAAGGTAGATCTTGACCTAAAAGACATAAAAATAGAAAATCTAATTCAATTAGCTAAAAGAAGTTCAAATAATCAAATTATACAATTAATAACAGATTCGGTTAAAGATAGAAATTTAATATACTTAAAAGAATGAGATCAAATATAAAAAAAGACTTGGAAAAAACTATCATAAAAACAGATCTTTGTACTAGATTTAGAATTAGAAGAAAACTACTAATCAATAAAATTAAATCAGAATTTTCTACTAACACCAGAGTGGTAATTAAAGATGACTATTTTATAAAAGATAATCTGATATACACGATTGACATTAACAATAGTGAAATCATAATTAATACTTTTTTGGGGCAAACTACCAAATATTCGCAAAAAAGCAGTAGTAACAACAAACGAATTGTCCGGCATCCATGATTATTATCCAAATGATAATAATAATAATAATAAAACTGAAAATAAATTCTGCTTTTAAATAAATACAGCTATTGTCAAACTAATAAAATTANTTTTTTGGATCATAGTCCATTGATCGATTGACATGCACATTGGATACTGTATCCGCTGTTATTCTACTGTATCAAAATAAAAAATGTAAATAAATTAAAAACTATTGATATCATATATTTATCATTATGAATTAAAAATTAGAACAGAACAATAAAATTGAAGGTTTTAATAGAAGAAGGTATCGATTTTCTGTATGAGTGAAAGAGTTATGTAACATTGACTTGATGTTTTTCAATGGAGCACGTGACATAGGCTGATACTATTTTTTTAAAAGCTTCTGTTGATTTAGAAACGTAACATTTTCATCTAGGGTAACAGTGTTAATAAATTCAAACTCTACTATCTCATCACAGGATGCAAGAGTGTTCTTTAGTCCATCGCAAGAAAAGTGAACATCGCAAGAAAAGTGAATCAGAATCATTGTCATTAAAACAATCTTTAGTAAGATCACGAGCAATGTCCAAATATCCTGTCTTTTGTTACCCTTTAAGTCCCAACTGAAAAAAAAATCCTAATCATCATCATCTGTTTGTAATGTCGTACTCTTAGTACGACATTACAAACAGAGCAAGAGGGTCAAATTGTTCTTCACAGAATAACTCTGAATTTCTAGAAACAATAACAGAAAATGAAATAAAATTCGTATTAGTTACGTATATACCTAAGATTTTTATATATAATCTTACCTGTTTAAATAATTGTTGACAGCTTGTAGCTTAACTTTCTGAGCACGCGATACGTGATGATCTTCGCACTCATCGCAACGATTATCATCCTGTTGCAAATTGAAATGTTCGTAGCAAAATAATCCTCAGCAAGATCGATTAGAATTTTCATATAATTTGTTTTTCCATAGCTTTCCAAATCCCAACTGATAAAATCATCTTTATTTCCATATTCTGTTTGGAAATTAATGCTGAGATACGGTAAATCAAATCTCTTCTCACACAACATTATCTGTAGATCTCCATCCACATTCATATTTTCAATTTTCTTAAACATATTCATTCTGAAATATGAAAAAAAAATCAACTTGTGAATTGATTGGGTCTTATCATCAAGCGAATATTTTTCACAAATTATTATTTACTTTGTCTGTGGAAATTAAATATATTCGATTCCAAATCAGTTGAAAATAATGAAATTTATCTTAAAATTAATAACTTGTTATAGTTTTTTTTTTTGCTGTTAATTAAGTTTAAGAACCTTATGATTATTTAACAACAAATTTATAGATCGGTATTTCTATTTTTATAAAAGTATTTGTACAGTATGTTTTGTAATCTGTCGAAACATTACTCACCTTTATATTTAACACAAATTTTCTGAAAAAATCAAAGCACAAACTTTTAAATACGTCTTTTCTCTTGGAAAAAATCTTCTGAACAAAGAAAGTGCAAAAATGGAAAGTCTATTGTTGCCGACATTTTTGCATTTCCGCGTGATATTGACGCTGTGAAAGTAAAAATTTATAAAATTTTTAAATTATCCGGTGTATATTCATATGTGTTTGTGTCAAGTATCATTACAAATGAATATTCTACATTAATTGTTGGGCATTATAGAAAAGTAACATGTATAAACTGAACAGTGTATAAATAAAGTTTTAATGCATAGCCATGCATTTTATATTCATAAACGAGTTGCTCTTTTATGTTCATTTTTCGCTTCAGTTTAAAAAATATCGAATTTAAAATTTAAGTAGAATTTGGAACAAAAGTTTTAATTTGTAAATTAATTTTATACGACATTTAGCTAATTATTTAATTTAAATATAATGCTCAAAATTGTCAAAAAAGAAATTTTCACAAATTTTGGAAGTCAGTGCTTAACGCATAATTCTATATTACGGAATGTTGTGACGTCACCGAATCACGCGAAGGAACTGAGATGGCGGGTCGTGGTAGCTAAAAGAGTATTTTCTTGTGAATTTTATTGTTAGATTAGCTGGGGGTACAACATAGAGCACCACTTAATCAACTCAGAATTGTGAAATACGATGTCTAAAATTTTAAGGAAGGCTTTTTAGAAAGAAGTGAATTAGACTTCTCAGTCTATATCCTTGTCAGGACATGAGACACCAGTTAATCTGTTTTCTCACACGCGGATTAACACGCGTTTCAAATCAATACGTAGAGGATGAGATCTTTTGATTCAGACATAATGACACATTCCTTAAACATAACAATATCGAGTATTTAATAAAACAACAAAATATACAAATTCGACCTTCAATATATAATTAGGATACAGCGGAGAGAGAGATCACGTTTCCAGTTAAAATCATACTACCTCACAAAATAATTTTCTTCGTGTATTCTTTCTATTCCTTTCGAAGATAATATTCTGTATTTTTGTAGTTTTCCTCAGGGTTTCGTTCTTGTTCCTTTTTAATTCTCAGGAGGCACTGTATTAAACATTTTCTTCTGCTTAGAAACTTATAAACAAACTTTTTATGCCGATTAATTGTATCGTGTAAAATATTTTACACCCCCAAAGAAAATATTGTAGGTCTAGGGTAAAATTAATTTTGTTTTCCCACAACTAAACTTCGCCACTAATTGCTGTTGTGATAACTTTAGTACGATCTTCTAACGACAGCACTTNAAAAAAAAAAAAAAAAAATTTAAGTGGCCTTAATGACCAAGTTTTTCGTAACGCTATATAAACTTGACGAGTGCTCTCGTCAATGGAAATAAAGGGAAAATTTCTGAAATATTTTAGTATGTGCAAATAAACTGACAATATGAATTATTTAAATACTTGTCTAAACATTCTATACAAATAATGAAAAAGTCAGATTGCATTAATTCAAAGCTGTCTGCAGGTCCTGGCACAATAAGATTATAGGGTTTTCCGTACGATTTTATCAAGTCAAAATTATCAGTACTTTTAACTTAAAACTATTTTCCCATGTACCTTCCATTCTTTCATAGGTATGCGATCTTCACTACTATTATATTCATGTGAATACAAATAATTAAGATAAACATTGACTCCAAGCTGAACACATCGTTATGCTATTATAATCTTACATCTACATTTTTTTTTACTAATACAGTAAATTTATGTTCTGAAATTCTGATTGGGACAAATCATATTTTGCATATAGTTTATGATGCTCAAGAGTGCTGTCGAGCATTCTGTATTCTGAGTGCCTTAACAGCATGCTCAAAAGCACCAAAAACTGTATACAATTTTGTATTCCTTCTGTGAACAATTTGTGAGAAACAGCTTGGTAACAGGAAATTTACAACACAGAAATTTTAGAAAATCAGGTATTAACCTCATTAACTCAAAACTAACTTAAAGCTGAGAATTAAATTACATTTTTAAATTGTGCACAGTATAGGAATAAATAATTTTTAAAATATGTTAAATTTGGCACTTGGTGTGATAAACCTTTACGTAAGATAACCTTTGTAGTTAAGTAAATCAAGTACTATAATATAGCAAACATTAAAATGAAAACCATATAAAGAGTTTGGCTATTTCAGACTATCATTGTCACAATTGTCATGATACTCGGATGGTATGAAATGGCACAAATTCGATGGTATGATTTGTTTAGATAAAAAAAATCTTGTAAAAATAATAGAATAATTGCTTTTATGTAACAAATTTTTTAATATTTTGGCAACAGGGTGTATAAACTGTGGGAGGTGTGTTCTCGTGAATATTGTATTTATAGAAAAATTATTGGGCTGCAATTTGAAAAAATTGTAATCTATAAATTTTCGCTGTTGTCACCTATCTGTCCTTCCTTAATCTTGAGAAATGAGTTAGACAGATGAAAGTTGAGACCAGATATGGAAATTGTAAGAGAAAGAAGACCAGATTACCTATATACAAACTTCTGATTTGTAATGCAAGTTATGTTATTACAATTCAAAAATTTTTCTGGAGTTAGATACGTAACTGGAACAACTGTAGTACTAACAGGAAAAAAGTATGATGTATGGGGGCAAAACACTATTACACTCTACACAGGCAAGTGCTATGCCCTACCTGTTGTAGTAATGGCATTTTGGAACATCTATTTCATGCTATATCATTGTCGCAGTAATTCAGTAAACAAAATATATATATTTTTAAATTATAACCTTTTATTGTAAGAATTACATTTAGTTAATTATTTTGTTAACTTTATTGCCAATAGATGGCACTACATGTAACTCAAAATGAAATGTAAATAAAAATTAATTGATTTATAGAAATGCAATCAATATTTTGAGATTGGATGTATGACATTATTTTAGTTAGAAGTATTTGAACAGAACTACCGAGTTTCATTGCAATTGGTCAAATGGCCTAGGAGTATATAATGAACAAACATTCTCATTTATTTATGTAGATAAGTACTATGGAAAAAAATAGTATACAGTTTTTCCAACGAAAAATATTTTATTTTGAACTATTAATTATTTTAATTAGCTTAAATTGTTTACTGTTAAAATTCACATGTGAATTCTTTGTGAAGAAAAATAAACTGTATACTTATCTAAATTCAAAAACAAAAATATTTAATTATCAACTTTAAAATATATTGTAAATAATTTTCCTTCTGATCTCTATTTAAAAACATTAAGCTAAAACCAAAAATAGAATTCCCAATTTCATTTCTAACAAAATGACAAGAAAGTTGAACAATGAAATATTCACATATTTGCTTGAATTTTCCATGTTTTTTTATTGCAAATTTAAATTAAATGAATTAATAAAAATATAAAAATAAGCTTTTCAACTAACTGAACTAAATTCTTTTAACATTGATCTTTAAAATATACATCGACATTACAAAACAAAATTTACCTTCATGAACTTTCGTCTCAATTACATTTAAGATATCCTCAATTATTTACAATCTTCAAAAGAATTAAAATATTGAATTTATTTCGAATAGATAAAAACCTTTAATATCCGAATTACAGTAGAGCGTCGATTTTCCGAAAGTCAATCATCCGAAACGTCAATCATCTGAAAGAATTCCAGTCGGCATATTTAAATTTTCGCCAGTGCTGTGGCACCTCAATTTTTGGCTGTCTTGGGCTACTCAAATATTTTACGTTTTTGATACTAAATTAACAACTGAAGTGTAACTTTTTATTGTTTTTATATTTTTCAATATATTTATTTTGTTTGTACAAAATAAAAAAATAATTTTTAACGATACAATAGTCTTTGTTAGGCTTAACATCGACGAAAATTCAACGCNCGTTAAAAAACCGTTTTTTATCACATTCCTGTCGTCTTTGTTTATTCCGCCACCACCCACGTACTAACAGACCCTGGACATCACCAACACGGAAGTAACTGGTTGCCCCTGGAAGTCGGCTTCTCACAGAAACACAGGTTTCCTTTTATTAAATGTTACGGCACGCCACTGCTATTCGACAATCACAATCCATATTAGAAATATATTTCGGCATTTTAAACACTGTTTTAAATGCTTTATTCACAATTATGTAATTATAAATTATTGCTGTGATAAATGTTGATAAAATAATATCAAATTTTCAAAACGTCTATTTTATGAAACAATATATTCATCTGTTATTATGTAATTGTTAAATAAAATTAATATAATAACAGATTATGTAATAATTAAACTTTAATCTTTTGCGGTTGAGTTGATTTGTGAAGAGATTTACAAAGTTTTCTTGAGATTAACAGTTGAAGGATTTTTCTACGTGATAGAAGAGTTTGTCATAAAGGTAATTGTCATTCTGTATTCGCTCTTCAGCTTTTACTAAATTACAGAAATAATAACAATAAATCTATTATAATGTATGGAGATATGAAACGAAGATTTTATGGGAAGGTCACAAAATGCTTAGTAGATTATTTGAAGTGTACTTAATTAGAAACTGAATGCACGATAGATACGACTGTTACATAAATCGCAACTCACGGAAATTTATGTGAGATCAGCCAGGACGTATGTCTTAGTCTACGCCACTTACGGGCACTAGTCGGTAAGACCAGTTCTCTAACTTTAATAGGAGAGCGTTATCAAAATTGATCTGAACGGCGAAGTTCAGATGCTCATCAGGATTCCTTGACACCAGTTAATCAATCTTATTATACGCGGATTAACACGCGTTTGCGATCGGATTCGGAATAAATTGAAGAGACATTTTAGTAAAATAAACGAGAGTAAATTTAATAATCCAAAAACAAAACGAATACAAAAATCGATGAACGACAATTAAGCGACAAACTATAGGCTAAGACTTATTCTATGCCAGTGCGCGATCGAGAGAGAGAGCTCACAAAATCATTCTAAACATACGACCTGTTTAGTTGTCGTCGTCTTCTTCTCTGTAGGTAAGGGACACCTTGTAGAGAGNAAGTA